AACTTTTATACTAAGACAAACAGAAATGGGAGTTACAGCATGGCACAAGTGGAGGAAGGGGTGTGTGTGTGTGCATGTTCTTGTGTTCTGGGACTTCTTAAAAGAGAAATTGCTGCCCTCCATTCTTTCTAGGTTGAGAAAAACACATTTCCAACTGAAAATAGCCAGGTTTTTGGTAGGTTGGTTTTGGTACCTCCAGGTAGCCAAATATGTTTGTGCTTCTCAATGTTAGAGAACCTCCTCTTATTTTCAAAAGAGAGGCTCTCCCTCATTTCTGAATTAAAACATCGTCTTCTGTATTTTAATGTCTTTGTAGCTAATTGAAAACCAATCTGAGACATCTTTAATTATGCAGTAATACATTAATACATTCACCTGGTGACATATTTTATGTGTGGGATGATGTTTTGACTGTTGAAGATCCTTATTCCTTGCTGCATAACCTTCTGTGAATTTACCACAAATTCACTTATGTCTTATTTTAGTTTTACTTGTTTCATGACTTATTTCACGGTCAGATTTTCATGTGATAATATGGCTCTTTCCCATTATGCAGATCCTGGGTTTGTTTTTTAAACAGAGACATTTGAGTATCATACACATCTGCAGGAGAATAAAATGGGAGCCCACGTTTGAAATAATCTGGGTATTCCAGATTGTTTGTCTTTAACTACACAAGAGGATGTTGATGTGGTGTTACTTTAGTTCCTTGCCAGAATGGTTAATGGTTCAGTATGGTATGTGATCACTTATGTCTGAGTTTCTGTGGGTTAGTAACTGCATTTAATAGATTTAACATCTATCATCTGGTGTTCACTGAATATAAGATGACTAGATGTATGAATATTTAACCATTTGGTCCTTACTGTGTAATTAATTACTTAGCCATTGAATAGGACTAGTAACCAGTGTGTTCCTGATTCTCCATTGCCTCATGTGGATACGTTTGCATCTCTAACTTGGCTGTAAACACTACCAAAACAGAATTCATAATTAGTAAATGTTAGTATTTACATATTAATTGTGAATAGTTGCAAGCTTTTTCTGTCCACGTGATGTTTTCAGGATATGACCTGAACGCAGAGCTCAATAGTAGGATTTCCTAGCTCAGGCTCACCACCGTGTAAACTTCACTCCAGGGCTTTTGGTAATTTCAGAAGCTGGGTAGTGTATGCACCCTGGAATACTTTGCTGAGTGTATTTTAAGTGCGCAATGCACTAATTCTCATTTACAATGAGACTGCCTTACATCACTTAGGAAATGTGTGAAGCAGTCTTAATGTAAATAAATTTGGGATATACTGGCATAGATATACATTACAATACTGAATGTAAAACACTAAAGAACCAAGTGCAATGATCAGCAGCTCCAGTATTTACTGGTACAAGTATGGAACAGATTCTCCACTGGTATAAATCAGTATTGCTGTTGACAATTTACAGGAAATGCAGAGTTTTCTCTCCTATTGTTCTGTGTGTGCTTTGTGAACAAGAAAAGCACTGTGTGGATATGGATTTTCTTTTATCTTGGCATTTCCTGCTGTTCTGTAATTATTAGCTATTAGGTGTTGCAGCACCTTGTCAGAAAGTTAGGGGACGTAAGATTACTTCAGCTATTAGAATGCAGCAACAGCTCAAATGGAGTCTGATGTGTGTTAATGCACATATACATAACATAGTATTTTGGGTGACTGGAATGATTAAAAGTTTCCTATTCCAGTTGAAACAGCAGTGAGGACAGTAACATTTAGTTGAAATCTGATTAGAATGGAGATGTTAATGCTTGTGCTCCTGCAGAGATCACCGTAGGATCTTTAATAACTTCAGGTTATCAGAACTTCCATTTTATTGTATGTTCAAAAAGACAGACCCTCCAGTACCACAGTGCCCCTAAAACTAGGGAGGGGCATAGATTTCCAGTTTAATCCATGTGAAGCAAGTTTCCTGCTCTCACTGCTTCCTTCAGTGGATATTTCTTTGAATTCTTCAGGATCCAAATACTCACCAGCCTAATTTGAGATTTGTGATGGGCTCACAGCTCATGATGGCATGGATACAAATAATGCTAAGTGTTTATTTAAAAGAATTATACTGGAGGTTTTTTGATCCACAGGTTTAGTCTGTAGTGTTCAGAATACATTTTTAGCTATATTTTCTGTAGTTTCAAAGTTATTGCCTCCTGTGCTTTCTGTTTTATGCAGGAATTGACTGTTGTATTACTTTTTCTGCTGTAGAAAATATGTATTCAGAATGCTTTTAAGTAGCAGTGTGCATAAAATTGCACTTGCTTTTCACCTGAGAAGCCTTAGCTCATTATTCAGTTTGTCACTAGTGCAAGAAGTTAGGCAGTACCCAACTGATATTCACCTGGCAGGATGAATGTACCTCAGCAGGGTCTGGCCTTGTGCCCAAAGAGGAGCTTTTACTTGTCTAGTAGGGAGCTGTTGCAGACACAGATTGAAATGCTATTATGAAAATATAGGAAACGACATTTAGAAAGCCTGTGCTCTCAGTGGCTTTCAGAGCAGTGCCGCGTTAGTTTCATTTATATTTACAGTTGGCTGTAAGGCTCTGGAAAAGGCTAAAGCCTTTCTGTATAGCATGTGGAGCAGGAGATGTTCTGTCATTAGCTTTATTGATATAAAGGCTGTATCCATTAAGATGAGAAAATTGAATATGCTATTTTATGGAACAATTTCTATGACCAGAGAAGTATCTATGTAGTTAAACTGTTTCATAGATACATAGTTATTTTACTTGCAGCTCGCAGTATTTTTTTCACTATGATCATAAAATAATATTTGGCCTTAGAGAGAGAGAATCAAGCTGGTATAAATGACTGCAACTTCTGTGCACCTCAGGGAATGGGACAGAGGGAGATTAGCAGGAAGAGCTGATGAGACTGAAGCACCCACTGCATTGAACACGGTTGCTTATTAGAGGGACAGCCACATGTGGCTGCCTTCTGCCCATCTTTTCAGCAGTTCTGTTCCTGCTGGAGTTATACCGACTTAGATGTGCAAGGATTTGGCATCACATGTTCAGGAGCACATGTTATTTAGTAAACCATCTCCCACTGAATTTATTTGCACACACGGTAGGTTGTCACGGAATTGTCAGAGTTGGAAGGGATCTCTAGAGATCATCAAGTCCAACTCTCCTCCTAAAGCAGGGTTGCCCAGAGCACATCCCTCAGGAGCATCCAGGTGGGTCTTGAAGATCTCCAGAGAAGGGGACTCCACCCTGGGCAGCCTGTTCCAGTTGTGGCCTCCCCAGTGCAGAGCAGAGGGGGGAGCATGACCTCCCTAGACCTATTGGCCACACTCTTCCCTATGCAGCCCAGGTTCCCATTGGCCCTCTTGATGACAAAGGCACACTCCTGGCTCGTGGATAATTTACTATCTACCAGGATCCCCACATCCTTCTCCTCAGAACTGCATCCTTAGAATGATTCCTCTGAGTTTAGTGAAAATGGCCCAGTGTACTTAAACATGGTATATTTAAACAGGATGTAAAAAAAAAAAAGTAAATATCTAGCTTGTCTTTACCCTGATGGAAAAGTTTCTGGCATTATTATTATAGCTTCCTAATGTTTTTCTAGCACCTAAATTCTAATTAAGACGAATTTATTATTTCCTTTTGTTTTTGTGAGTCATTTCTTACTCAAAGGCACCGAGAATCCCAAATCTTAGCAGTAAAAGTTCAATTCGTCAATATTTAATGGCCTTGTATTACAATTAACCGATGACCTTGAGTTCCTAAAGAGTAATTTAGTAAGTATGTGGTTACATCAAGCGCTGAAAAGATGCTTGCAACTGATTTTCTGTATGTGTAGTACACTGTTGGGTCACTCCCTTGTGCGTGGCATTGACCCTTATCTGTACTAATATACTCTGGTAGAAAAAACTTGAAATATTCCATGGTACATCATGACTGCTGAGGAAACTCTTTTAATTTTCATGCTGATAAAGATATTAACTTAGAAAAATAAGACAAATCCTTTTGTCTGAACAGCAGTTGAAAATCTGTGTTGTGACTACAGTTGACTGAGGCTCAATTACTTTAATAAATGTATTCCAAATTTCATCTCGATTACATTTGCATTTTAATGAATGATTCTCACCTACTTGTCAAATAGGCAGCCCAGGTAAATTTATTAAGTTATTGTATAAACAGAGTATTGTGATGCCAGAATTTAAATAGAGAAATATTTGATGTCCTATTCCAGCAATATACTGTAAAGCTATAGTGTAGAAAAGTATGTTGGTCACCTCTGTGTTTCAAGTTTGCATTTATTTTACTGTCTTCCTGACAGGAGTTCATGAACCTTTAGGGTCATTAATGAAATCCCAGAAATAAGTCTATGGAATTCTGAGAGGAATTGGGGGGTGGGGGAGGGAAGGGCCGGGAGGCGGTTTGTTGTGTGTTTTTTTGGTTGTTTTTTTAAACCTCTGTTGTCATCATAGAGGGAGTGCATTACAGTTTCTTCTTTATGTTCTTCTTTTGCATTAATATCCTGCCCGTTATCTTCAACTCACTCACAGGCTTCACTGGCAGCTTCCCAGTTACTAATAATACAGCCTTCTGACAGCAAGTGGAATTCAGCAGCTAACAGGTAGCTTCAGGGCAGTGCCTGTCAGGCTGTGACAACTGAGTTAAGACAGTGAGGGGCCCAGTGGTCAATTGGCTGCTATAAATTAGAATTTAGCAGGGAGTTTTTAAACCAAGTAGTAGACAAAGTGATACTGGGTTCAAGACATCCAATAGTTAACCTGGGCAGTGCTGAATGACATAAGGGAAAGATCTCCCAGTTCATATTGGGGAATGGGGAACTGTTGTCCTTCATTATCATATTGCAGAAGGAAATAACTCATGTTGAACTCTTGAATATAAAATAATGTGAAATCTCTATTAAAATTAAATTGGTGGCCACGAGAGGAATTAATCAACTTGATAGTTTATCTTTAGTACACTGACCAACTTGGGATGATTTTTGGCAGGCATCATATGAATTCTGTGAAGCGAGGTGGAGAATACTTTCATATACTTCACCAAGAAGCACTGGAGAGGAAGAACACACTGGAAGCAGCCCAGCAGGCTCAGGGCCCGAGATGGAGAACTGAGTTCGAGCCACCCAAGTTCTCCTCTGATTCAGAGGAAGAAATAAACACGTGAGTCAAGTCAGAGGGCTTTTGGTGGTCTGAGGGCAATGGTTTTAAAAAGCGACAATTTCCAGTTTCTGTTATTACTTGGTATTGAGGCAGAATATTACTACTTGTGTGAACTAGAAAAAGAAAATGCTTAAAATCTGAGCAGGTGTAAACATAGCAAGCATGGGGAAAAAAGTGCTTGAGGTGCTGTTTAACAGGGAGGAAGTTTAATCAGCACGAGGTTATTGAAGTCAGAAGAGGTTTCATAGCCAACTCAGGACTGACTGAGGAGAAAAGGAGGTGGCCTGGTGGGTTTGTGCCATGCTTTTGTTCCCACAAAACAAGTGTGATGGACTGTAAGCAGTATCTCAGCATCTCTTCTCAGACAAAACAGTCACCTTTTTGCATCTGCCCAAAGATTTGATTTCATGTAAATACTTAATTGTGAATAATAAGTAGTAGTATAGATATGTAAATACTATACTTATAGTTCATGAAGTGCCATAAACATATTAGAAATAACAATTCTATATCTTTGTAAACTTAAATATCAGGTTTGTAATATTAATAAATGATAATAAATGCAGTAATTCACAATTTACAAATACACCTGAGTATTTTTTTACATGTAAGGAGAAGAGGGAGTGTGGTGATGTAAACACCAGGAACAGTTTTATTGGCTCTGCTTTCATTTCACGTACTCTTTGTTAACTTCAGCCTTGTCCTTTCCCACAGCTGCTCTCTGAGGAAGTCTGGGAAGAAGAAAACAATTACCTTACACTCTTTCGCTCCTGTTTATACCAGTGTCTTGATTCCAAGCCTCCCTGGAGCAAAAAGGTATATTTGAAAGCAGATTTATCTTGCACTCCTTAATAGCATATAAACAGAATTCGAAGCAACACAAATTCATAACACATTCCTAGAGTCTCTGTTGATCTGGTAGACACATATCCAGAGAATTGCAGGAGTTTACAGTGAAATAGTCTGTCTTTACTAATAGCAACTGGCAATTTCTAACTTTAGAGGATTGAATCCTATGTGTTACAGAAAACTCTGTATGTGTGCATGTACACAAACTCATAATTTGCCTTGCTGATCTTGACTCAGCAAATTCAAAGTTGCATAAAATTTGATTATGTGGTGAGGCTTTCAAGACTAGGCTCATTTTAAGGAAAGGCTGTAAAAATTAAAATTTAATTTGCCTAGTTTAAAAAAAAAAAAGTAGGCCTATGAAAGGGGAGAAGACAGTGTGTGTACCATGAATACTTCTATATATTTTGTGTTAGTGACTAACACAAAATATCTGTTCTGTTCAAAGTTCACTGACCCAATTGCTCACCGGAAGTATCTTTATGTATTTACATTTGCACATGGAATAAGCTAAAATGCCAAGGATAATCTTTGTTCGGAAAAAGATCGATCCAACATTATAGACTCACACACTGCTTTTGCTTAAATGCAAAACTTAGAAGATACTGTAGAATTCAAAAGCCATAAGAATCCATATCTTAGCGGAGTAAATGCTGGAATCCTCATAGGTGTGAAGGCACTGAGCACATCACTACGAGAACTCCATTGAAAATTTCCTATCCAAAAATACGCTTTCAGGATTCAGAGTTATGTATCAATATTACAAAAATCTTGAGACGTGTCTAGAATTCACTGGGACGATGAAAAAAGATCTGCCACAGGAATGCTTAGATTTATCTGTTTCAGCCAACACAATGTCAGTTTGACTCTTTCCCTGACTGTACAGTACAAGACATTTGTTTCTCTTCTTTGCAGTGAACATCTTTTCCGACAGCTGTGCGCCATTCACTGGCTTTTGGAAGCTTTGACTCGTGAATCCAACAGTTCGATGCGTTCTATATTCACCTGCTGGAATCCAACGTACGTGCACAATGCATGATAGTAGATGGAACGAGGATTTGGGGATCTTTTGCCCTTTATATGCTGCTGTTTCTCTTCTTTGAAGTAATAACTATTTGAGTAAAAACTTATTAATTCTGTGCCATTCAACATAAACAAATTTTATATTGACTTTGCCTCCGTGCAGTCAGCAGGAAGTTGTACAGTCAAATCAGTAGCACAGCATGGTCCTCTGTTACTGCAAGTTGTAGAATCAGGAGAAAACACTGAGCTATCCCAGCCAAATTTAGTTGTATTTTCTTTCCTTTTTTCCCTTCTGGTTAATAATTATGCAAATTAAATACATGCAGTAATATGTAGATATGTAGTATATATGCCCATAGTCTTTCTGTGGAGGGTTATCCTGGTGAACACAACAGGAGTTCCAGATGCATTATAATTACAGAACATAGCCAGCTATTGTGATATTTAGTAGCTGGTTTTAGTCTATCAATTATGTATGATAGTGATGGGTACTTGTAAAAGATGCATTGCTTCTGAACTTTTATACTGTTAAAAGTAAATATTAATTTAAGTTCTCAACCTTTTTAGTCAATTAATCGCATTGACATAACATGTATTTAAATTATTCATGAGTGTTTGGAAAAACTGTGAACAGTTTATATTCTGATTTGCAGGGCAAAGCTTCTGCAAAGCTGTTCTGTTTTCTCTGTGTGATCTCAGTCAAGACAAATGGTGCCTGTGTGTAACAGAGGTGGCAGAGAAGCATTGCATAGAATTACCTGATAAACTGGAGAGGAGAATGAGTCCAGTGTGTATTGTGGATGGGTGTTTCACCCCTTTACGTATGAGGACGAGGGATAAGAGAAACAGTTTGTCAGCAGTTCTCACAGGTTGAGAGCAGAGTATAAATGCATAAGCCTCTGGATTAATTTCCAGGTTCATCAGTAGCACAGTCTCTTGTTGTGCACTTCCTTCTGCTGTCTCTAACCACCGCTCCTCTCCCTCGCTGTCATCTGAATTGATCTGCACACACACATACTTCATTACACAGTAACTATGAAAAATTGGGCTTACATTTAGATTATATAGTCTCTGTTAGCACAAAGAGATATATTTTTTTTTTAAATGAGTGATAAATGAGACTGCCTCAGCAGTGACGCGTTATACCACAGCTGGAACCTTTGTCAACATGATTTAACGTTTGAATTTTTTGATGAATAAGGTCTTCATTTAGCCAATATTTAAAAAAATCAAACTTGTATGAACCTGTTATAATTTTTGTCCATGAAATCTTGCTATACTGGACAAAATTCTTCAGAACTTGCACAGAGGAAATTGAGAGCATAGTCTGTCCCAGGACATGCATGATGGTTTGTGGAACGACTGTGCTTTGTTTAGGTCATTCTTCACTTGTGACTACAACTTACTCATGGCTTATACATCTTGTCTTGTGTTTCCATTTCTGATAAGCAGAGATATAGTAGCGGTTACCCACCATTCACTCTCTGATTATTATATTTCTTAGAAGAACTCTCGGAATGCAAGACTCTCAAAATGGAAAACTAATTAAATTGCTTTCACTTAGGGACCCTGGTGGCTGTAAAAAAACAGCAAAAGAAATCGAAGAGGAAAAGTCAGCAAAGTACATGTGGGAACTCTGTATTACAAACACAAAGGTAACTTCATTGTTAATTTCTTCCTTGGGATCTAAACCAACTTTTCAAGCATTTGTTTTGGTGCTTAATTGAACTCCCTGATACCACATTTTATGCTCTGGGCTTTATGACTGCAGAGTACTTGTCTCTCTAGGTTTTGAAGAATAACAATTTGATACTAGGTAACAGGACGAGCAGTATGGAGCTGATTGAAGCTGTGATTGGTCTTGGTGATAAGTACTGATGTGGGAAGAATGAAAAATTCAGCTAAAACATAACTAGCCTCTTGTTTGTATTTGCCCCCTTTTTATCACCCAGAGTTATATAGAAGTACTTGTTCACACAAATACGTCTTTTTCAGTGAAATGGCCATTTCAGACTGGTATCCTGGAGGCCTTATTCTAGTAAGTTGTAGTCATGATGTGTTTGGTTGCGTTTCTACACAGAATTTAAAGCTAAATTTGGAAACAAATTCCAAATGTTGAGGCATTTAAAGAAAGCAGGATTCACTTGCCACATTCAAAGCAAAGGCAAGGAAAGGTTAAAAAAAGCGATTCAGATGAAAGCCTTTTAAAAGAGAAAGAAAGTTAATACTTGAGAGGAAATTAAACGCTAGAAAATTGCCTGTAACTCTTGGTAACTGTTTTACGATCTTTCTGAAATCACAGAAAGACTTTCTTTTTGAAACCGCTGAGGTGACTGGAGGAAAATGAAGGGGGAATAACTGATGCTCAGGAGTGTAACTAGAAGAACTCAATAAAGAACCAGTGGGTTTCTCACTCTGTAGCACATCTTACATTTTGATCTTCAGCAGTTTGCTTAAGCTTTTAGTTTCTTTCTCTGCCCCCTATAAGGCTAAATTAAACAAGTTTTGTGAAGTGCTTTTAGAACCCCAGGTGAGGCACTCTTAGAAATATGAGCTGTTGTTACATGCAGGCTATTTGATCTTGTTGTTTTTCAACACCTGCAGCTTGTACCTTCATGACATAATAATTAAAATGATTCCATACAAGATTGTGATCTCTGTTGGGGAATAAGCAGCAAAAGTTGTGAAACTTCTAAAAGACAAAAACTGTGTTTTTATGCAAGTATTCTTCCTGCTGTTAGCAAACAAAGAGGGAAAGTCAGCAAGTCACATGAATAACAGAGTTGGTTCTAAATAGGAGGCTTTCTAATTTTTCCATACAGTCTTACCAGTTCTCTGAAGTCAGGTCCAAATGAATATGAGCAGAAAGAAGTGCATGTCAGTCTTTTAGCATTTGAATTGATGAGGCTTTTTTTTTTTTCCCTCCCTGAATTAATGGCAATTTCCTATCTGTTATTTACGGTAATATTACTTGAAGACTACTTTTTGTATTTGATATGAAACTTCTAGTGGACACATTCAGGGGCACTTGCTTTATAATAGCTATTGTTCTCATTATCAAGCTTGTGGAATTCAGTCTGCTTACAAAATTCAGTTTCACATTCCTGACACAGGATACTCATTTGCCAGGTTATTGGGTGCTGGGAGGAGCCCTGAACATTTATCAAACCCTTTGACCCATTTTTCTATGTATGTGAGAAAGTTGCTCTATTACCAACTGTCTCTTCAGCTGCACTGTTACTCGTTTACAAATTAGCTTAATATGTTGGCATTAATGCTGTAGCAGAGGAGAATTGAAGAAAGATAACAAAATGTAGAAGGTCCTACTCAAGATATCATTAGTTTGTTTGAAGTCACTGGAGAAAAATCTATGAGGTTACAGGAGGACCAGAAGAATCTAATATTGGAAATAGTTATAGAAGTGTGATTCTTCTTGTCAACATGCTATAGAAATACCCTTCTTCCTATTCATTTTTTCTTCTATGCACAGAAATACAACTGGAAATCACGAATCAATGTACTTAGCAGGAAGATAAACAAGACGTGTATTCCAGGCCTCATACAGCTTAGCCGTCAGTCATCTCCCTGCAGTCAGATCACTGCTGGCAGTGAACGTTCCTCTGTATCTTGCTCTGAAGACAACATCAAGATTAATGTAGCTTCATCTGATGTTATGAGTGAGTCAGCACAAGCTAAAGAACAACAAACTCTTTTCCCCTGTAAGTTACTTTTCTTGACTACCGCTATCAAATGGATTTGCTTTCAGTGTTACAAAGGAGAACCTATGTTCAAAGAGCCTGCCAGATGTACCAATGTATTTCTCTTCAGGCACATGGAGTTTTGTACAAGTCTGTGCCCTCCCCATTAGCAAATTAGGCTTCATGGGCAAATCAGAAATGGATTACAAGTACGGCTGCCCTTTAGCCTTACACCCTAAATTCACAAAGTTTCATGTAACTCATACAGAAATCATTTTTGAGAGCACATGTAACCCTAACCCACACATATGCATATATATATATATATATATATATTTCAAAAGTGGGATATTTCTTAGTAGGCAGCTAATCAGTAAATACAGCTGAGTGTGACTCTTACTGAAAGATTTCTTTCAAGGGAAAAATGCATAACTTAATATAAAGCCTTTTGTACAACTGTAATTTAGATGCTGTTGTTTAGACAGCGCTGCTGTAGGTTGCTTATACAAATTTGATTTTCCAGTGCTGTTGGCTGAGTGAGAACCTGTACTACTGCCAGTTTAAATGTCACATCATGTTGACAAAGGTACATGTGGAAGCTGCAGTCCTTGCAGCTGTGGTATAACAACAGGTCACTGCTGAGGTAGTGTCATTCATCATTCAGTCCACATCTAAGCAGTCAAAGGTTTTACAAAGCTGATTAGTGTTCTAGGCTTTTTCCCTTCACCACATTTAAAAAAAAAAAACAAAACAACACTCTTTGTGTGCAGGCAGAGACTATTATGATCTAAATGTAAGCCTAATTTTTCATAGTTACTGTGTAATGAAATATGTGTGTATGCAGTTCAGGTCAAATGACATACATTTTCGTCACACTGAGAAGTAAAACATGAGACTTGTAACAGAGAGATTAAGCACTAATTCAATTTTACCCCCAAAGCTTTCCAGCCAACAGTTGAGCTTTGAGCTCTCAGTCAATAATACATTTTTTAAAGAGGAAGTATAGATATTTGTGCAAATGATCTTCATTATAAAACTTATACCTGAATTTTGGCCTTTTCTTTGGGACTGATCAATGTATTTTCAATTGATTTATCATTGTTAGATCCCTGCAAAACAGGTAAATATTAGTGCCCCATTTCATAAATAATTAACTAAGGCATAGAAATCGAGGTCAAGTGGAATGACTACCTTTTTTTTTTTTGCTGGTTTTCCCTTTTCTAATTAATACCTGACTGGAGGTACTAATACCTGACTTCACTGGCTATAGAGATTAATATTTCAAAAGTATTATGAATATAGACAAGCTTGAATATTTGTTTTCCCAATTTCTCCAGATGGGGAATTGGCACAGGTTCTAAAGCTACAAAACGGAGACCGGAAAGGGGTTGTGTCCTCTCTTTCCATTGATCAGCCAAAAAGAGAAGCTGTATCTTTGTGGTACTAGCCCTGGTTTGCTTTCTGTCGTCTTCCTCCTAAATCTGCCAACAGGACTGCTGCTTTCAGACAGGCTTTAGATATCTCAACTGATCTTGGAACATCAAATACAGCCACTGCTTAGTATAGCCCTCTTCCCCCAAAGCACCGTGATCTGAAGAGCAGATGGGTTTCAGATATCCAGCTACTCAATCTGCCCAAATGGTAACCATAAATAGAATAGTTCTTCTAAGAAGGGCTCTGACACTGCCTGCCAAGAACAGATGAGATTTGTGTGCGGCCGTAGCTCAGTTTGAGCAGAGACTCCCTGCTTGTACCAGTGTTGGGTTCCAGACTCTGTGGGGGTCAGCCTTTGCATTCAAACGGCTCTAGAAGGTCCAGTGGTGTAGCCAGCATCTGACAGGCTTACAATTTGAGACTAGTAAGGGTCACAGTGGAACCATCACTAGAACTAGTCAGTGTTAGAGTTTAGGAGTTTCTGACTGGGATCTTGGAAGTCTTGAAACTCACCTAGCTACAGCTAATAGAGCATCTTCATTATCAGCATGGTTCTTACAATTTTAGCCCATTAGCTGGTGCCCAGCAGCTTGTTCCATCCATGTCTTACATTTATAAATTCACAGTGTAACATTCTGTACTTCTAACAAGTATAAATAGTTTGTGCTGTATTTAACAGTCAACATTCAGCAGTCATTTTCTATTATATTATATGTGGTGCTTCACAAAAGTGTTGAAAAGAGGACCTTTTGAATTTGGGGATTACAACTTCAAGGTGTTGAGTGCTCAGTCAGTTATTACCATGCAGGACATAGCGAGCACCTCAAAGGATGACTTAGAATTTGACAGCTAATACCAGCATTTTTAATAACAAGTATGACAGTTGTGTTTTTTACTGCCTGAGTGATTAGAGGGAATAGCGCAGAGAAGATGGCCCTCTCAATGTCTCTCGAGGGCTTTGGCATCTAAGCAGGAATGAAACAGCAGTGGGAAAGAAAACAAAGATGTCAGTTTGAAGGAAAAACACTGAGATAAATTGGCTTTCCAGGTATTCAAGGGAGCGGAGAATATAAGCATTCACATTACAGTTGGAAGGCAGAAAGAGTAAATAAAGAGTGTTATTAGTGAGAGGGATCTGCTCAATGGAATGGTAGATAATCTGGAAACTATAGCTAGTGAGGGGCTACTTGAGGATGTGTCTTAAGTTTGAGTGGATGCTGAGAAGGAGACGCAGAGAGGTAATTAGATACCTGTTGATGTTAAACATTAAATTCCATATAACATTTAAAAGAAAAATGGCAAATTATAGGGTAGACTTAGAAATCCCGAAGACCTGACAGTTGTGCCAGTAGAATGCTAACAGCACAGTACAGGAACTGAAAACAGATATTATTTTTTTTGCATGTTTTTTTCAAATCTTTTTCTAATATGCTAGTTTTATAAGCATCTAATGTAATATCTTCTACTTGATGGGGTTTTTTTTCACAGCTGAAAGACCAAAGCTTATGTTTTAAAAAGTGATTAGTGAATTGGGTGTGTTTATATTTGGTACCTATCTTAAAATCTCTTTAAAAATCTGCTTATTTTTGAAGAAACTTTAATTTTTAGAAGTACTAAATAGCAGCTTTTTTTAGGATGTCTCATTCAGGCCCGTGTATATGGCATCCTCTCTGCAAGGAAGAGAGGAATGCACTGTTAAGTTGGCATGATTTACAGATTATTGTTTTTTTATCAGCCCTACAGAAAGTCAACCTGGTAACACGTGAAGAAGGATCAAAAGATGTCCATAAACAAGATGATCTGGTTAAGAAGACTGGAGTGCAGCGGTACGTTACCTGAATGACTAGGAGAAGCAACTCATCAGGACAGAGCTTATGCTTTTTATTTCTCTATTATTCTTTTTCCCCCTGAGCAACTGGATCCAGCATTCAGTGAATTCAGATGACATTTACATTTTGGCACAGGTGGCAGAATAGCCCATTTTACGGTTGTGCAAGCACTATGTATTTTCTGGAAAATACCCCATGAATCTTGCCTTTGCAAACAGAACAGAACTTATGCTCCAGCAACTTTGGAGAAAAAGCAATGTTCTGTCTTATTCCTGTAGAATTGTTTCTGTTTCTACCATTACATTTTTCAGTAGTCTCTCTGTAACTTTTCAACTAAGCTTTTATTAGATGCATTCCCTCATTACTCAGTTCTGTGGTGGTTTCCACAGCTGTAAAATCAGCATGACAAACCGTTTTTACAATTAGACTTTGCTGAAGCATTTATTTTCCCTTGAGTTGAGGTCAAGAGAAATAAATCTTGTACCTGGGTAACTCCAGCGAGTCTGTAACATTAAGAATGTTTTATCAGCACCTGTAGAACTGTACGCTATTTTAAACCTTGTTGTGTCTTACAGTTTGTTGCCAGTGGCTCAGAAGAATTACGGGGTAAAAATGCCATTCATTAAGGACCAAGAGAGTTTAATATCAAGGAAGCAGAGACCCGGAAGGCAGAGGTAAGGGTACAAACCTGTTTTTAAGCACATTATGTGCTTTATAAACTCAGCTCTGTACGTGGAAAGCATTTGGCATGCAAATGTCAGCATTTCATTACACGAGGCCTGAGCAGGCCAGTGAAACCTTGCAGCACATTTAGTACATGTCAATGCAATGCAAAGGCACTTTCCTGGAAGGATGTGACTGGAATGAAAGATCATACAAATCCAAACTTAATATAATTTATAATTTTTTTTATTCATAAAATTCTTTCATAAATTCCATGAATTAAAAAGCCCATGTAAAGTATATTAAATTTGGATTTTTACTGAGAATAAGATCTCAAAATTTAATGTGGGCTCACGTTGTTGAATGTTCTGAGCAACAGTGGTGCTTACCATAAAATGGTTGCCACAAGATGTTAATTTGAGTTTTCTGTGTTGTTTTACTTGCAGCTGCCATATCAGCACTTTCATTAAAAGCAAATCTAACTTGGGTGCTGATATGAAGCAAAAATTCACAGCAGTACGTGAAGAAGCAGCCTACTGTTTACATGATACTCTAGAGCACCTTGAGAGGTAGGAAAAGACTGTTTTCTGTATACTCTTAAAATACTACACACCTTGCTCCTGACCAAATTTAGGACTTGTCTTCAAGCCTTTTAAAGATGTGCTTACATGGATTCATATTAAAATAAGAATATAGGATGATGATAGCTTTATGACTGTGCACAAAACATATATTATAGGTTAAATATTCACAGCACTGCTTTGGGATATTTCTGAATTACTTTTCTGGAAATAGTTTTGCTAAAAACATTGGATGTATTTACTCTGGACATCATAGTCCTTTGCACCCAAAGACAGAATAATAAATTCGGTCACATACGATCTTTATCGCCGTCTTGTGTTTTCAGTTCAGAGATCACTGTATTGTTTTTCAGTGTTACTTTGACTTTTTTCATAGTAACAGTTGCAATGTCCTTTCTCAAGGCCTTTTCCCAGATCAGTGACATTTCTACCTTGTTGACCAGCTGAAGCCTGTCATTCTTTTCCTTTCACCCAGAAACATTCATCTGTGATGTCTGTGCATATTCTTTTGTCTCAGTAGGCATCAGACCGGAGATCCTTCTCTACATTGCTGTTCTGAAGGGTGTTACAGGCATGGTTTTCTTTCCCCTCTCTCACTTCTTCCTTTTATCCATTCTTCTGTTCCATTTTGTACTTTAATCTTTTATCCCCAGATCTTTCCGTATCTGGAGCTGGGTCCTTGTTGTCCCTGAGTAGCTGCTGTGACTGCGTAAGGAACTAGTCCTTCCACACTGCAGGGTGCTGGAATGATAAGTCAGATGGAAACTTACTATTTGCAGCTATTTTACCATTCTCCATGCAAGTGTGTTCTGTTTGACCAGCATTTGGAGATTAAACCTCGGTTTGGCAGGATATAGTAATTTATTGGAAAATAAAACAGAAGTTTATTTTTTATAACACAGTAATATTTTTTTAAGGAGTGCATATGAGCGCGATCTCTGGGTCAAGGTTCTAGCTCGGGTCACTCTATTCTACCCCTCTTCCGTTGTGTTTTAAATAATATTTTACCTTAAATCACTGTACAGTATTCTATTTGTTTTCAAGCAGTGGATATCTGATAGAAAGCAGAGGTTGAATTTCAGTTTAAATTTTTTGATTCTGAAATTTGTTTCTTACCTACAGCCTGGAGGTGATATAAAACATTAAACACTTTTTAATATGTCTGTGGAAATATGAATGTGCACAGAACATTGTGGGAGCAAGAATTGTTATTATTGTCCACTGACTGAAGCTGCAATGTGTTCTTCACATTCATTGTTTTCTGCCTTACGTAGTATCTTCCCAGTTAACTATGCAGAAGTATGATTGTGTTTAAAACACAGCTTTAACCTTTAAGGTTTGGGTTTTTTTGGTAGGAGGCAGGAAGAGCGATGTCGTCAAAAATACCATGCTTTGAAACAATTGACGTATTTCAGAAGAGACATGGAAAGAATAAGGCAGCTGGGCATGAGAGCCAGAAGAGAACGTGATGAAGATAGACTAAACTGGTAAGGAGGCACAGAAACCCTCAGGTAAATTGAGGGTCCCCTGACTCTGGCCAGGGTCCCAGAGTTCTGTCCTTAGTACAAAAAACTTTTTTTCTTTTCGTTTTTTCTCCCCAAAGCAAAGTGTCACTAGAAACCATTAAACCAGTTGCTGGAAATGCAGGCTTTTCAAACTGGTAGCAACAAAAATACAGATACGATCCCTGCTCAGCAAATAGTTTAACCGGAAACAGTAAGAAAGGGGATAATGAAGAGTTTCTTTCTAGTGATACTGGGTGAAAAGCACCCAATCCTTGCATTCAAACACACACACCCCCCAGTGTGCAGCTTTATAGGAGACTTCTTCCACCAGGAAGCATATAAAACATGCTGTACCTAGAAGATGAGAGAGGTTGTATAAATGTACATTCACAACTTCTTACTGAACTGTACATTCACAGTACTAAAACTGATGGCAAAGGCGACTTTGACTCTAGCTGTCCATCCATATTAAAAAGATAAATGTTTCCCTACCAGTGAATAATACTGCAGCACTTACAAGGGCAAGTAGAGTAATCACCTGAAGATTCCCATTGCAGCAATTCTGCAGATTACTAGTATTTTATGTTTGAAGGGATATTAGCTGTATCCAGTGATCAGCTTCCAGATACACACTAGAAATAGCCTACCAGAATACCTCAGCAAGCTCACAGCTTGTTCCCTGCTGCCCTGTCCACGAGATCTCCTTCGACATGGGAATACGGAGTATGCAAACTGCACGGAATGGGGTTTTTTTTCAGCCTGCCCTGTTTCACTCTCCTTGCTAGTAAGCCTTCTGTCCTTCATAATTTGAAATAACAAAGAGTCCATTTCTAATTTCAGGTCCAGGACAGATTAGGAACACATGCATTAATGAATAAACCTGGTCTTAGCCTATCTAGCAGAACTCTGGTTTGAATTGTCAAACATACATGCTCCAGCAGTCCCCCAAATTTAAGAACTAGCATGTACGTAAACCCTGAAAACTGGAGTGGATGGGGTTTTGCTTTTATACTTACAGTTCTGCTAGAAGAAGCCTTAATTTGGACAAAGTTCCACTAGTATGAAGGATACGATACCAATATGGCTTTTTACTTTTCCTCCATGCAAGAATAATACTACATGTTCACTGTTGCTTCATATGATGATGGTGCTTCCATGGTGAGAAGGATTTCTAGCTTTGACTACACCAGCAGAGTTAGAGAAGTAAAGCTTTCTATGCCAGGCCTCTTCTGCAAAGCGCTGTCCATGAAGGGTCTGAAGAGTGAAATCTCTGACAAGGCTGGGCAACCCCCTTGTGGAGGCACAAGTCATGACAGAGAAACAGCTTTCACCATATCGTGTTTCATTTATAATAGGGCTGCTTTTTCCCATTCTCTTGCAAACACTGCCTTGCCCAGAAAGCTGAATCACAGCAGGAACGCTTTACTAGTATATGCTGTCAGTGTAGTTGTCTTATATCTCTCATGAAGTGAGGAAAAAAACAAAAATAGTATCAAATATGAACAGTGCAATAGACTACACTAAACATAGCTTCCTTTCTCAAAAAAATATCTTAATGCGTAGATGGGTTATAAAAGGCCTGTGTGACATGATTATGGTAGCCTGGGTAATCTAACAAGGGATAATAAGGAGTTGGCTATGCCAGCAGTGTACTACTTAGTGTAGAACTGGCCCCAGTGAAGATGAAAACCTACATGTTTCTTTTTTTTACTGGTTTAAGGAGGAAATTCCTCACCCCTCTCCTGCTGTCCCAGTAACATGTATCCTAAACTGGTGGGAGGCAGCACTTCCTGCTGATGTGTTGCCAAATCCTCAGCCCTTTGCAATGAAAGCTGCAGCACACCCCAGTCATGCACAGGCTAGAAAGGTTTGGAGCATCAGTCTCCAGGACTGTCAAAGCAGCACTGCAGAATTTATGCAGAACATTAAAAAAAAAAAAAAGCAGTCTTTTCACAAGAGTTTTATTTTTATTGTAATGTGTAATTCTCCTTCTGAATCTCTATATTCAGAGTGAAATAGTAAAGACTGCATGTTACAATGCACTTAGATCATGAGTTTATGACAGCACAGAGAAAGAGGAGAATGATGGTAGCATAGGGAAAAAGGATAGTAAAGAGAATCAGCAAGTGTGTCAGATCAGGCACTGATTGCACTGGAAAATCCACAGAGGCTAAACAAAATAGAGAAAAGATGAAGAGGACAAATCTGTAGTAAAATGGAAACATTTGTTAGGATTTTATTATTTTCTTACATACGCAAGTTTGTCATCCAAAATTTAAATTAACAATGAAGAAGCATCTATTTCAGTGCCCTGCAAAGGGAATTGGTGTGCAAGTCCAATAAAGTAAAGCTCTTTCACATTATTCACTCAGAGTTACGCTGAGTATTGTATTCCCCAAAGAGCCATTTTTTTCTGTGGAAGTTATGGAGGCGGTGAAGTGGCAGAAATGCCAGGCAAACCTGGAGTTATTAATCAGATGTGCATTTGTTCCCATGGCTTCTCTTTTATTGCTCTTCTCCTTTCTGCTAAAGGTTTCCTGTATTGCTTGCCAGACTCCCAGAGTCTGTGAAGAGTGACCGTAATGTACAGAAAATCTTAAAGAAACTGGAAAAATATGGCAAGATTCCTGACTTGAAAATTCATCCAGACACCTTTCTTAAGGCTCTGGCTGATCTACAGGTGTGGGAGCTGTGTTCTCCAGAAATTGCTGCAGCTGTGGAGGTGAGATAAGTCGGGTCGTTGCTTCTCTGTGTGATGAGTGTGGGAAGAGCAGGCACCCATGGGTGAAATTCATGCAGTGGAAAGTTGCCAGATGAAATCATTTAGGACCTCACTAAACGAAGATGCTACTATTCACCTTTTACAAGGCACTTTGAACTCCTCAGAAGAAAGATGTTATGACAAGCATTGGATTATTAATCAGTATCATCCTAATATGATGTCATTGTTGATTTATTTACCAGCACAGTGAAAGTGACATCTGTCATAAATTGTTAGGATACTTGAAGAGAAATATAACTTCTTGTGCCCTGAAAATGCCTGTCATTCCCAGTAGTTACATCCATGAGCTATTCAAGTAACGTGTTACGTCACTGATCCAAGATCTCAGCAGATACCTTTGTTTTGCTTCAGCAACATTAAAAAAAAATCTGCTTCTCAAGATGTTAAATTGGGCTCAGTTCTTGTAGTTCTAGAAGCAATTGGCAGAAGAGGAAGGACACAAGAAAGGGAAGAGAATACATTTAGAATGTATATCGCTATGTAGTCTAACCAGGTAACTAACTTAAAAAAATGGCAATGATGCCACCTTGTGTTTCTTGTTCTCATCACAGTTATTTCCCCTAATTACAAGGCCAACAGAAATCTCTGAGAGGCAGCAGGTTATTGTGCATCTTACATATATCGAGTGTTATCACACCTTAAAAAGGCAAAGATTTAGCACCCAACATGTCGAGATCAGACTACCTTTATTTTCTTGATGTCTTATAAAAATAACAATTTTGTCTTGTACCCTAATTTGCATAGTCACTAACCAGAGGGGCAGCCTTGCCTTGTTGTTCAATACATAAGCCTCTCTTGCTTGCTGTTTCAGATCTGTTTCTTTGCTGTTTCCATTCTGTTTTCTTTGTGTTTTGATCCCTCATATTAGTGCAGTGGTAATAGAGCAAGACGTGAGCATAGCTGAATCTCCTATCTATTTATTCATACGTCTTTCAAAAATTAGCCGCAGAGGAAGTAGGATCCTGGTGCTCCTTCTGACTGGAATAAAGCAAACTCATATTTTAGGGGCAAGAAGAGCATCACTGAATATGACCTGGCTAACACTGACAAAGATTCCAGATGAAGTTCTTACTTAACTTCAAGTTGCTTTAATGTATGTACTGCAATAGTAGGTAGAAGATAGTTGCAAGTTTAAAACACAAAAACTTGACATGGAAGGATTCAGGATATAAATTGCAATGGAGATTGTAGAGTTTTCTTTTTAATTTGTTTTAGAGCATATCCAGCTGTTCTGAAAGTTGCATTAAGATGTTTTGGTGATATGAAACACTATACTAACTGTTTGCAAGAAGCCATTACATTCGTTCTGTTGTCACAATGGTCATATTTTCCCACATTATCTCTCTTACACATAAATTGAAAGCTCAGGAAAGAATCTTTTTCTGTTTCAGTTTGTGCGTGAAAATATTGTGCAGATGCCAGAAGAGGATTTCAGCGAGTGGCTTCAGGCAAGAGTAGACCCCCGCAGTGCACAGTCCTCCACTTCTTAATCAAACAGATGCAATGGTTTTCCAGCTACAGCTGTCTTTAAGCAGAACACTACTGCCTGTTCTTCTTCAAGGAAGACTAGGGAAGGGGAGGGAGCTTCAGGAAGTCCCACTGACCACTCTTGCACACATGAAATTTGTCCCTCTACTTTGCTCTGCTAGCTGCACTTGGCCATAGAAAATAAAAGCTAAATACTGGTGCTCCTTCCTGTAGGATGCCTTGGGCTCACCATCAAATGTCAATCTCATCTAATCACATAGGGTGAAAACTGAGTTTCTTATCACAAGTTGGGTCATTTCTTCAGACGTTCCTCTGACAATACCTACAGTATAACAAGCATCTATTCAGTGTAGATATAGAGCTTGCCATAAGTAACATTATCTCTGTTAGTTCTTCATTTTAGCTCTCCTTTATAAAAATATCTCAAGCACAGGGTAGTTGTGACCTTTAATACAATTGAGGTTTTTTGCCATTAGTTCTTTTTTTGTAATTCAGCTTATTTTTCTAGTTATTTTATTCTGTAGTTATTCTGTGACTATGGATTAATTCTTGCCTTATTAAAACCGATATTAAAAAACCAAACATTCTTAGATGCATTTCCCAAATTTCTTCACCTGAAGATAACATTTTCCTCCGATTACCTTATTTGTCATCTCTCTGCTGGGTAAGACAGTAGAATGACACCCCTGAACTCACAGACAGTGATAAATACGTGACCTTTGTGAACCTGTCTGGGCTTAACTGTGTGTTTCATGGTGGGTGACAACTGCTGGGTGATGGAGTCAGTGACCCAGTGACCTTTTAAGCTGATGATCTTAATGAGATGCTTTACCTGCCTGTCAAAGCTTCCAGAGAACCCACTGGGGTGAAATGCTATTGATCCTTCAGCTGCAATAAGGGGAAACAAGGCCAATTTAGGGTCCAGGTGAGTACAGTGACTACTGATATGTAATATATTATTGATTAATGGCTTTATTTTGTCCCCTCTTCATTATCAAAAGAGAAATGTTTTTCAGCAAAAGAGCCAAGAACACAGATTTCTTTGACTTAGAGCCATCAGAGAAAAGTAAGCTGAGGTACCTGAGCCATCCTGCCAAAATCAAAACTTTACCAACTGACTGTGTGACCTAATGTGTCTGTCTGCATGTAAGATGAGATGATTGTGCCAAGTGTAATTAGCTAATGTCTGAGCAGCTCTTTGAGGTCTCAAAGCAGGATGCCAGTGCTGAACACTAGGGTCTCTGATGTTTTTGTGGGATTATGAAATATGTTATATATGATTTTGTTTGACAATGGCTCTCTCTCTACTGTTGCCACCAGGTAACAAAAGGGATGACTCCTATAGAGAGAAAATAGATTCTCTTTTCTCCTCCTCCAGCACCAGCCTAATGAAAACTGTTCTGCTTCTTTTACTCTGAAGTGGAGAAGAGCTCCTCTGGAGCAAAATTGCAGCTTCGCTTTTCCTGCTTCCTGACAAAGTTGCAGTTTCTTCAGGCAAGATCCTCAGCCCTATTTGAGTCTTTGTCTGACAATATAAAGGACTGAAACAATACAAAGAGGTTAGAAGGCCACACCCAGGTAAGAGTAGACTTGGGCTCTTTAAGCTTTTGGGTTTTTTTTTCCTGCAAACATCTTGGATTCTCCCGAATACTTCCATGAACATCTCACAATCTTTGACTCACTGCTTCAGTAGACCCTTGCAAGGTAGGTTCAAAATAACCCATTTAACACATTGGAGATGGAGGTACCAAGAGTCCAAGCAATTTGCTAAAGGTCAACAGACTGTGTGGTAGAGCTGCTGGATTTGTGTTGTCTGCTCATCCTTCCTCCCATTCTGTTCTGCTATTTTACAATTTCAGCTCATGAGCCAATTTCCATTAGCCAAAACAAACCTTGCAAACCTTGGGTTGGTCACTTGCTTCATGTGCTGGAGGGACGTTTGGGGGATTCAGACACTGAACTCATGGACACAGAATCTTAGTCTCGTTGCCTGCTGCCTGATGTGTTCCCAGTGTCATCCAAACCCCACTCTCCTCAGACTACACCCCTGTGAAACTGAAATAAGAACATTTTCCTGGGTCTCACTAGTAGCAGGGCAGGAAGTTATTGTTGCATGAGAATTGCTTGGACATTAGGCTGACAAGTGTTACAGGAAAACTCATCAATTGAAGCAATAAGTAATGCCTCTGTGACCATTTACCCTTCCTTTCCACTTCATAATGGTTCTGAAATTGTCATTTTTACTATCTTTTCATAGGAAAGATTTCATCATGGTAGAAAAGAAGCCAACTATCCTATTATATTAACAACAGTACTCCCACTGTGTTTTATATGGGACATAAAAAGCAGCATCTTATAAATAGAGATTATAAAATAAACATCTCTTTCTTTCTTGGAGACAGGCTGTTTTATTCTAAATAAATGTCTCAATCATTGTATGGGCATTCAGAAATCAGGGTACGTCTTTCTAATTGGAATTTCAGCTTTGTCTATCGCCACTCCATTCTGCTGTCCTGTAAATTGATTGCACTATGTCAGCACGTTAAAGAGATGCAACTATATTTGGCCTCGCACGTTAATAACAGCAATTCATTTTGCTAAGTTTTAATACCATTGTTGTAGCACTGCAGAAGATAAAAGCTCAGGCTAACAAACCCCAGGATATTTGGGACCAGCTCAGCTCCTATTAAGGTCAATGGAAAGGTTCTTATTGACCCTGTTGAGTAATGATTACTGTAAAATCAGAATAGGTAGTTGTGACAAGTGCAAAGGCTGATCTTGTAACTAGCAGCTCAGTCTGTTTTCGAGGCACTGACTGTTCATAGTCATACTTTTTTGCAATGCAGCAAACCTACACAAAGCAAAATAAAAGCACACTTCCCAGTAGGAAAGCTGACCAACTACCCAAAGAAAGTGATCAAAAAGAAAAAAAGATGTGACAGAAGGAACGGAGCTGGGATGGATTCTCAGATAATCCAAACTTAATTTCCTGTCTCTGGTGACACTTGTTCTCATGTGCCTAAGAGCAGCTTCCAAAGAAGGACAAGTGCTGGACTTGTACCAAGGGCATGAGGTCATCAGTCTGGACAAATCCTTCAGTTGCTCAATGGGAGAGAGGTCTCTGCATAGACCCATTATTCTCGCTGAAGTCCCTATCCTACTTCTCGATCTTCCCTCTGGAAGCTAAAAGCTTAGAGGTGCCTTCAAGTGGCATTTTACTGGGAAGCATGTCTGCATAAGGATTTAATACTATTAAGTGCTGGTTTATGGAAAATAAGATCAGAGCTGGTTTGACTTATCAGAGTAGAAATAATGACACTGAACGTAGGTGCAGATAGGACTGTTCTTCATCCACTGGAGTGTAATGAGTGGAAGTAAAGCTTAATCTTTGCCACTTTGACTGGAACCGAATGGCACTTCTGAAAGTCATAGCAGGCTCTGTATCAGGGATGGTTACCTTAACCAGCCCACCAGGCTCAGCATCTAGACAAGCTGAAAGAACTAGTTTTTGGAAGTAGACATTTTCCCTTCTCCATTTCTGTTATAACCCACACAAGGGTTGGCATGGCTTGTTCAATCCCTCAGTTCTTCTGGGAAGGAAATGTAATTTCTTCCTATTTTTAAATTTGCAGCCCTGGTTTGGGGTGTTTGTTTTTCTTTAACAAAAGCTTGGGTTCCTAGATTTAACTGACTACTGGCTGAAAGAAATCAGTGTCTAACCTGCTTCTAAAACGATCATAAACAGCTGATCATGAGAAGCTGGGAGGATGTACCAGGGCCTGAAACACCCTGAAATTGCCCTGTTTCTTGTACTCTTCTTAATCATCTGTCATTGGCAATGTCAAAGATGGGATATAGGTGCATTTTGGTCTACCTGAGGCTTGTGTTTTATGACAAAATTGGAGAGAGGGAAAAATTGAAACTGTTGGGTAGTAGTCCAAAAAACCAGTGTCACTGTAGCATTTCTGCATGCTACGGCACTGTAGCATTGTATTTCTCTATTCAAGGTAACAGGAAGCAGGAAGAATATTCATTCAGGAGCCGTTTCAACAGTGAGAAGTGAGAAATACTCTTTTGCTGCTATGCCAGAAGGGTAGGGAAACAGCAGCATTCATCCCATTGAACCAGCCGCTGTTTTGAGGATGCCACCACAGCTGACTGTGACACTCTTCCTCTATGCAGTAAGTGGCTATTTCCATACTAAAGCAAGGTAAGGAAGTAAAAGGCACATCCTAGATTATTTTGCAGTGGAGAAGGGAAATAAAGGGTGCATTCCACTGGAAGGGAAATAATTTGCTCTTGCACAAAGCAGAGCAACCTCAAAGCTGACTCTTTCCTGTCAGAATATACCTTCCCAAAGACCTGGCATGATGTAGCCACACAACCCTCCTGCAGGTTTTAGACTCTTTACTGCATCAGCCCACCACAATTCATTATTTTCAATGGTGTCAGTCCTGATTAACAATGTCAGTTTTCAAGATTCTTATTTTCCATTGTTGAACTGGACTTTTGAAGTGCACTTCACAGGGGCGGGATCAGACCTTTAAAGTAGGGAAAGGCTGAAAAAGAAATCCTTTTCTCTTTGTTGACAGGTCCTTTTTTTTTTTTCTGGCTAATGGTTGTTTCTTTTCTAAATGATTTATATAGCTTTTTATTAGGGTGGCTATATTTTACTGCATTACATTGTAAATTGCACCCAACTAAATATGATGGATTTAGTCATCATGTTATAAATTGTAGTGGATTTTTAAAAGAACCCATCATGGTTGACAACTGGGGCATCTAATTTATTTCTAGTGCTAGACTACTATAACAGTCATCAAAACATTGTCTTGCATAGATAGCTTATTAGAGCATTTCTCAGAATATTCTAACAAATATTTGCATTTCAGAGGCTGTTTCCTACCTATGGTTCTTCAAACCACGTTTACAAAGTAGGACAGGTTACAGCTATGGGAAATACATATGGTCTATAATGAAAACTTTGCACAAACAGTGTGGAGGGAAGATTATAATGTCCAACTGTTCCCATTTGTTGTAGGACAAGGAAAAATTGTGACCCATATAATCTAAGTGGCTGAGAAAAAAATGACAAAAAAGCAAGCTTTAGCTAAATAATAGACTTGATTACATGTAAAAAGAATCTGGGAGATGAGCAAAGAAAAAAGAAAATACTGGAATTATTTCACAAAACAATCATTTAGTATGGAAACTGTGTGAGGGATTATCAGTGGGCAGTCAGACTTTTCCATCATAGGCAAGGAACATTAGCTCACTAGTCTTTCTCTACAGTCACAGCCCTCTCTAGCTAAAGGGGACAAGGAGCCATTCACCCACAGAGAAGTCCAGAATCCAGAAGTACCAACAGCCATGCAAGTTAGTGTTTGTGCTCTGGATTCTGGTCATTTCCAAGAAGCAGTTCTCTTGCTGTTAGCTGTAGAGGGGACTAAGAGAAGTCACCTGGCCAGAGGTCCGTGGCTACCTCAGTTTCCTGAGTAGCCCTCCAAGGAGCATTTTTTCTGTGAGAGTATCGCATGTGGATTTTTGACAGCCATGGAGTATAGTATGGCAATTCTGTCACA